AACAGTTCTTAAGGTCTTACAGCTTGGCCAGGGCTAGGGTGTGCTTCAAGAAGGCATATTTGTCCCTGTCCTCCAGAATCATGCGTCGTTTGCCACGTTGCAAACGGTGCGACAGGTCAAGCCAGACATCGGCGAGCAAGCAGCCAGTCGCTGAACTCCAAGGCCGCTTCTATCGTTTGCTGCTTTGCCCGCGGGAAGCTTAGGCAACTGCCGCTGCCGCTGACTGCAACAGAAGCGGATGCGCCTTGAATGCTGCCTGTCAACGTTTCAGCTGAGCTCCTTGCAGGCTTCTTCTTGGCAAGCGTCAGGTTCGCCATAGCCCTTGCCAGTGCTGTTGCAGCATATCCGCCGACTTGGTTTGTCCTGCGTGTCGCACCTGTCGTCGATCAGGGAAGGCACTGGTAACCCGACCAAAGCACAAACATGGAATCCTTGTGCATGCTATGCAGCTTTCGGATGATGCCACTGTCTGTTCCTGAGTTGCACGGAGTGAGGGGCTTCGAAGACTTTGCTCTTCAGGGAGGCTAAGCTACCAAGTGCACGGGTTCGAACGCTGACCAGACAATCGATCACCTTGACCAGGCAACAGCAGCTGTTGAGGCTTTACAGACATAATGGCTCGACAGCATGCGTCTCGTAGCACGCAGGGAGGACTCCTCTAGCATGGCGGGCTAATGCTGATGTTTCTGCGACTTCCAGCTTGGCATCGAGAAGCTGTCTGATATGTTGCCATGTGTGATGCTGCAAGATGCAGCTTCGTGTCGGCTCAGCTTCAGCATTTCGAGCATTTCGGATTCTTTACATGGCGGCTCCAAACTGGCTTTGCTTCGCTCGTTTGTGGCCACCCGGGTGTGGGCAGCAAGTTGCTGAAGCCTTGCTGAGGCGCACGAGGTGTGGACTACTGCCAGAAAAGGGCGCCGGTAACACATGTTCAGAAGCTGACCCGGCTCAATGTCTTCAGTGTGCCCAACATCCCGGCCAATTCTCGGCATGCCTTGCGCAACATCTGTGTGCCCTGGCTGCAACACACGCTCCATGCGCATGTTTTTGTCGATGGATCCCTGCTGCGAGAGGGCGCTGAGCCATGCTGCGGCTGGGGAGCTTGTATCATCCTTGAAGGCACTGTTTCCGGCCAGCCTGCCCTTGCTTTTGGGGGTTTTGCCGGCGGCTCCCTGGACACCTTCCTAGGAAGGCCCCTTGGCGCCACCAACACCTCATACTCTGCGGAAGTGGCGGCTACTGCAGTCGCGATTGCTTGGCAGCTGGCTTTGCCCAGAGGATGTCGGGGCCTTGTCAACGGCAGACGTGGCCTGCATTTCTGCTGACCACTGAGCGCACAGTCTTGAACAGCAACTTTTACGGCGGCTGGAGAGCTACGGGACCCTGCACTTCGGTTTTGGCCTGTCGGCGCACCCTTTCGAAGGCTCATGCGATCTTGCATCCTAGTTGTCGCATGTCGCAACTGAGCTGTTTGGGTTCCAGGTCATCGCATTCGCGTAAAGTACATAGCCTGCTGAGGCCTTCGAGGCCAACGCAGCTCCAACGTTTCCCAACAAATCCTCGGCCGTTCGCAGGCACAGGGTAAGCCGCGAGCGCTCGTTGCGCTGTTCTTCCAAGCGGCTGAACTAGGATTTCTTTCTTCCTCCCAGTTCCGAAGAAGGGATCCCAAGAGCAAAACCGACGTAGGAGCCACGTCCGCCGTTTCTTGTAATTGCACCGACCTGCGAGTGAAGCGGTATTCGGCCGACGGGTTGGCGGTGGCTTTATGAATCGTGCCAGAGTAATTACATCCTTTTGTCCCTTGAAAGTCTCCTAAAACCTCGGCAAATGGGGAAGTGCACGCCGCCGACTTCCAGTTGAGGCTAAACGGAGCAAAGGAACGTGGCATTCGATTCCTCCAGAGTCGTGTCCAGCATTGAATTCAAGAATACCAAGACTGCCGAGGCCAGCACAGGTTTGCCAAGCACCCCGAAGCAGCTCCTGATCGCTGCTTCGAACTCTCGAGGCCCCCAGACTCACACTGAACCTGAGCTGATGGCCACGAGAAGAGCTATGAGAAGTTAAAGAGCCGACAGCCATGGCCAAGGCAGCTGCGCTGGAGAAGGAGGGCCTGAGGCGACGGGGCATGTGAGCATCAAACTCATCTCGCAGCTCGCCTTGGGATGCGATACTTAACTTTAAATTCTTAATGTTTCAATGTAAAGAACTAAAGGACTCCCGCATGACAGTCCAAAGTCCCCGATAAAAACCCCTTGGCACCTGACTGCCTGCTTGCGGCACTGCCGATGCCATCGCAGCGTGACGTGCGAGCTGTTTGGAGGAGTATAGGTGTTGTCAAGCCTCGCCGACACTGCCGTAAGGCATGAAGCATCGGGCACAGGGTTTGCCTTTGGGCATTGCCACGCTCTGCCGTAGCCAGCTGCCCGCCATATAGGACCCAGCCGCTGCTCAACAAGTCGGAATCCGAGTGCCAACAGTCACCATGCTGGAGCAATCAAGGCAACCATAGGATGCATCCGCATGGTGGTGAGAACATCGCTCTCCGAGCCCGTCAGAATTTGGTGCAAGAAGGCTCGTCAGCGCAGAACTTTTCATACCCAGATGGAAAAACGGTCGTGCTAGCTTGCAATTTGTGGCGTTGCTGACGCTATCCCGAGAGGTTCAAGGATCTGTGTAAGCTGAGCTGTGAGAAGGCCTGCCGGCCGGTCAGGGTCACCCAGGCCGCGTCGGCACTGCAGAGGCGCTCTGCGCCTGGGCGAGTCCAACATGCTTCCAAAGCTGTCCTTCGAGGCTTCAGCCTGGCTAAGGTATATCGAGCAAAGCCACTGACGTTTCAAAGCTGAGAAAGCGGGCTCAAGGATGCGCATGCAGTTCTCTTGGTCGGGGAGGGTCAATCCATAGTTCTGCTGGCCAGCAACACCGGGCAGCAACCTCATGATCGCCAAAGAACTGCATCGGCATCGCCGGTCACGAGTGTCAAAGCCCCAAGCCTGAGGCGCCTCAGGTGACGGTCGTCAGATTCTTGCGATGTCGTCGTCAACGCCTGGCTGCGGCCGGAATGGCCTAAGTCTTCTGGCCTTCGCCGTCTCTGTTCTTGAGAGAGAGGTGGAGGAGTGAGCGGGCCGAGCACTCCTTGACGCTTTGTGCTGAGAGTGGGGCGAGCCCGGCAAACGACACGTCTTAAGCGTTGGCCTCAGAACCTACGTTCCCTTTGCCCCGAAAGTGATGGAAGCGAGGGCTTGCAAGGTCGTTTAGGTTGCTCCTGCCGCTCTTTTGCTGATTAAAGGCAAACGTCGGTCGATTCCTGTCACGAAGGCAAGAGCAAAAGCGTCTGCTGTTTTCCCCGTAAGATCTGCTTGAAGACTGCCTGTTGAGAAGTGACGAAGTTGACCAGGCGTGGGCTGCATTTTGCACAGTATGCACAGGACAGAGTGGGGAGTGGCCTCGGCATCGGCATTCACACCAGATTTTGCTATGAGTGCCAGACACAAAGCAGCCATCTCAGACCGTAAGCCAAGCAGTTGGCATTTTCGGTGATTTATGTGCTGCTGATGCTACCGCCCACTCAGCACTGGTCAATGCACAGATGTCACAAATGTAGGCCATTGCCGGCAAAAAGACATGCTGTTGACAAGGTCGGACTGCATGCGGTGCGAAAGCCCGTCAAGCTCTGCATCACGGGCACAGCATCGCTTCAACAACAGCGGAGCTGTCCTTGTACCCGGTTCTTCGACGATGTTGCCGACACCGCTCTTTGCAATGGCTTCGATCTTCATTCGAAGGTCATTCGCCATCCGTCAGACGAGGACATTGCCACCTCTCAGGCGTGAGGATCTTCACAGGAGTGCACGATCAAGACACCAAGTATACCCAATGATGTCTGAATAAGACCTATTCGAACATTGGACCATTGGCATCACTCAGCACGAATCAGTGCAACACCCGGGGCGGCGAACAGGGGAGATGTTTTGACCCCCGAGCCACGATCCACGTCCGAGACTAAGTCAAGATGGCTAAGCGCCTGAACTCCATAAAGAGTCTACGACCTCCAGACTTCCGAGCATGCCGAGTTGGCAGCTGCATGTGTCTGCAGAGGTTGCAATGTGCCCGCTACGTTGCGCCAAAACAAGGCATTGGGACTGGATTGAACCCATGGGCCGTCTAGAAATGCCACACGAGCAGTTTAGCTTGTAGATTAAGGGAATATGCCGCATGCCTCTCAACCTATTGCCATTTTCGTACAAAGTATGCTTGGACTCAGGGATGTAGATATGGGGCGGGGGCGGGGGACTGACGATAGAGGCAGGCTTTGCGATGTGGCCTTGGGTTTGTAGGGGTTGTTTTGCAGTGCAGTGCTGCCTTTCTTTCCTTCTTGTTGTCTCGGCCAAGCTGACCGTCAACCCATCTCGAAAGGGAGCTGTTCAGCCCAAATCAGTACCTTCGGTTAAGGAGTATGCTGTGATTCAAGAGACGTAGACCTTTATGACCTTTACATCTACACCTATATAATCACATATACATTTAAAGAATGTATGATAGCTTCTCTACTTACCTGTGTTTATGTAGACAGAAAGCGAGAGAGAGACGAGAGCTATAACCATTATGAACAAGCTAGTCTGCTTGCAATTGAAACTACAGTGTAAACCAGACATTTGATGAAGTTTAGGGATGCGGCCGCACAGCGCTGTTTCGGCTCAGGGGGTGTGCACATGGCACTTATCATGGCTACATTCACTAGGTACCCCCTCGCCCCCCTCAGCTGCCCCTCCACGAAGCCTCCCTAAGCCACGCTGAGCCAATAAGCTTGCGAAGCTTTCATGCCCGAAAGGCTCCAACGGAACGGACCCATCTGAACATCGTAATCTTAAGCTTTCGCCCCAGGCCAAGTTTAGGACCGGCCCTCTTGAATTTCGGGCTTTCGCAACACCCACTTAGATCAGATTACTATACTTTGCGTCTAGATCCAGAAGGGCCGAGCCATTGCTTTGAAACCTCGAGAGATGGCGATGCAGCCACCCGCGCCGCCCGTGGATCGGAGCCGGAGTCCCTTTGGCCAGAAGCCCCGGAGCTCCATAGCTTGGGCAGCTTGGGAATTCCGAGCCCAAAGGGTCTTAGAGTCTTCGGGCATAGCTAGGCACAAGCTGCGCTGGGGTTTCGGGTTCGTCAGATTCAGAGCTGTAGGGTTTCATAGGCCTGATGAAGATGCTCTAGGTGGGGGTTTCAAGGCTAGGAGCGATTATCGAGTTGTGTGTAGGTAAATCTCCCGTGCAGGAATCAAGGTTCTTCGGGGAGGTTTCAGGAGCTGGTTGAGTGCTTGGCAACCGACACACCCCGACCTCTTCAGCAAGCCATGTCAGTGTTAGGATCTGAACTTTGCAATTAGCAATGCATGTCGGTGTTAGGAGGTGTCTGGTTTTGGGGATTTCTTGGTATAGGTTTGGTTTCAGGTTCTTTTCGAGTCTTCCGGGCTTTCGGGGTCTACTTGAAGGATCAGGCGACTTGATAAGTATTTATGTTCTGAGAAGACCCTCAATGATTAGACTTACAACCTTTGTGGGGGGGAGTATGTTACTATAGTATGCTTGTACTAGATTTTAAACTCTCGGAGGGTCATGGCTTAGGATTGAGGGTTCTGGATGTCCTGGAAGCATCATGGATGTTTCAAGCTACTGTACGTACATTTCTGCATTTCTCTCCCTCCACTGCACGGATCCCAAAGTCTGAGGGTTCACTCGCAACAACGAAGCTGGCAGAAGAAAGGTTTCAATCCTTAAAGGCTATAATTAAGGGTTTGGGTACATCTGGGTGCATCTCCTGTTTACCCTTGGTCCAGTGTACTCGAAAAGTGGTACAAGGACCAGGATTCTTGAAGGTCCTCAAAGCACAGCTTAGGCAGTGCGCCACTGCACCCCAAATCCCAAAAATCGAGATGCGATGGCACATGGGCCGAAGTTGAAGCTCAAGTTCTAAGCCCTAGACGACCAAAAAGCAAGTCCATCAACTTGTCGAGACAGGCCACGCAGGATTCCCAGCGCCTGTCCCGCCGAGGAGCGGCGTTTTGATTTGATTGAGGGACTTCGGGACGGTGTTTTCGGGTTTTATAAGGATGAGGCTTTGAGCTGGCCCATGGCCAGGGTATAGTTTCAACACATTTCGGCGTTGTTCGGTTTTCGATTTGAGGTGGGCGTTTCTCTAGACCTTTGAAAGGGCCTTGTGGGGGATGTTCAAGGATCAAGGACGGTTACAGGGTTTGGGCTGGGGTTGTAGGGTTCAGGGTTCCAGGAAGGGTATTGGCTGCGTAAGTGGATATTCCTTGCTACTTCGCAAAAAAGTTTACAGTAAATGCATCGTACAGAGCAGTGTTGAGAGACAAGATTGCAGGGACAATCCTGCGCATCATTCAACCAACCCTAGTTACATCGTACGTGAAGTGACTTAGAATGGGCTCATGAAGCGTAACGGTGAGCTTTTGGTTTGGTTGTCCGTACCGCGATGCTGCTAATCAAGACCCTACTGCACATGATCCTCAAAAGACATGCCTTGAGTGTACATTCTGGTTGAAAATCTGGGGACACTACAGCATACTCTTCAAAAGCCCCAGTCGTCAGATTGATCACTCCCAGACATCCTGAGTACCGACTGAATCAATGTATAGAATTGGAATTCGTCATTTTTTTCTGTGTGCGTCAGTTTCCCTCCCCCATGCTATAAGCATCAAGGGCCTATCATCCTCTGGCATGAATGCTCCGCAGGCCTCATCTGGTGCGCGGCGCCGGCTGGGTTGGCTGGTTTCGTCCTATTGGTAAGCGCACTCCCTCTTTCCCTCTCTCTTGCTTCATGTTGCCCTGGTGATCCGAGAGTGCACGACAGGCGTGGCAGCGATCCAGCCTAAAGGCATGGCTCTCAGCAGAGCGGAGAATAATTTAAGGCTAAGCAGACGGGCTGACCCGAATTCCGGCTCTTAGGCCTACCAAGCAACTAGGCCGTGGTGTTTTTGGGGGTCAGGGATTTACCGTCTGGTGTTCAGGAGCTTTGGGCTCGAAGCCAACAATCATGATCGGCCTTGTGCCGTCTCTACATCCGTGTTCAAGTGTTCGAAAGTACATGTCGTATTTTGCGTACGTTTTGGGGACATGTGTTTTCTACTTGCGCACTTGGACCTTCAGGGTTTGCTTCGGGCAATGTACATGGGCCCGCTCGGAAGGAGCTCACCCACGGCCCCCAACAGCCTCAAATGATGGTAATTATCCTTCTTGATGCGAAAAATAGTGTCCTTATTTTTCAAAAATCTTTAAATCCGTAACAACACGAGAAGATTAGTTTTTTTTTTTTTTTTTTTTTGGAGGGGGGGGCTTTTCCCGCAGGTTCGGTCCCGCTACCGCCTGCCTTCAATGCACCTCCACCTCTGCGGCCGCCGGTCCCATCGGAGGTGTCTCTTCTTCGGTGGCGAAACAAGATGATGTGTATGTTTGTTTTTTACGTAGATGCATACATTCCTGCCTGCCTGCCTGCCTGCCTGCCTGCCTGCAGGCATACCTGCATACATGTCTGTATGTAGTAAAGACTTAAAGATGTATGCATGCAGGCATGTATGCATGTACCTATATCTATATATATATATATATATATGTGTATGTATATATATATATATATATATATATATATATATACGTATACCCTGGGCGTCCGCCACCCCGTTAAACTGGTGGGTTGTGAACGCACCCGTTTAACTGGTGGGTTGGACGGCGCCACACCAGGCGTCATCGATGCAGAGGCTCAAGACACCAAACAGCTGACCGTGAAACTAGCGTGAAAAAAGCGTGAAACAACACCAGAAAACCGTGAAACACACCCAAATACCTGTGAAACCACCACCAATGACTGTGAAACTTTGTGCATAAGAAAGCAGTGTTATCATCCACTGAAACAATGTTAAATTCAGTTTTTGAGGTGTGTTCAGTGTTTTGCGTGGTTTACTTGAACGCACCCGTTTAACCGGTGGGTTGGACTTGCAGGGTATATGTACATATGTATTTGTAGATGTGTGCACTGAACATGAAGATAGTCAAACATGCTAGATAAATCATGTGCCTATACAAATGTGTGTATATATATATATACTGAAACAGATACACATGCACATGATATATGTATATGCATGTATGCATCCTATTCTGCACGCACCCACCCACTCACTAACTCGCTATCCAATCTATATCTAAGCTTTTTTACCCAGCAGTCTTACTTATATACCTATATGGTATTCTGTGATATTCCTATATCTACGTCGATATATCTAGGCACTCTGCGTTGCCATTCGTAGCAGGTATTTTTGGTGCTGTCAGCGAGTCTAGGTCGAAGTCCAAAGAAAGCCTGTCGCGACCAGATGAGCAAACGCGGTGGGAGCTTGACCTGTGGCCCGGGCGTACTCGAAGGTTGTGTTGAAACAGGCTTTGCAGCATTGGTGAGTGTTGTTTTCTTTCGTGTGTGTGTGTGCGTGTGTGTCATTCTACAGGGTACCAGCTACCACCCGGTCCCAAGCCTTAAGCGCTAAGGAGCCGATGAGAGAAGACACCCTGAGCTCTAAATCCGAAAAGCCTGAAGCACTCCGAAATAGTCCCGAACTTCTAAACCCTAGCACCCTCAATCCTAGAATCTAGAGACCCCAAATCCCTCATAGGACCCATGCCAAAAAAGGGTGTTAACACCCTACAGAAAGTCATCGATGTATAGGAGCTTGGTCCTGCGGCCCGGGAGCTGCAGCATCTCATCCAGAAGGACCATCCGTCCTCGGGTCTCAAGGCATACGAGATAAGCGAGTTCTGAGTTCCAGGCTCTCCTGACTCCTAACCGTCGTTAGAACAGGCCATCCAAGCAAAGCGATTACAATGGTACCATTGGAAAAGGGCAAGGAGCTGACAGGAAGAAGGCTCTGCGCTGAAAGCCCATAGACCCTGCACACTGCCTTGTGGAGCAGATGCATCAAGTCGTTGCTGGTCTTCGCGTGTTCTTGTCCCTCCGATTGATCATTTGGCTCATCGGGGTGAGGGTTTCCGGTTTAGGGGTACGGGGTACTTGGGTTTAGGCTTCCCCAAAGCGACCAACACCAGAAGCCGAAGTCCGAAGCCACAGGCTCCCCAAAGCGAAGTCCAAGCACTCTGCCCGCGAGGAGCCGCCGAAGACTGAGGAGCAGCTGAAATTGGAGGTCGCCCTGTGATCTGCTGTAGAGGGCTGACAGGTATCAGCTGCGGGTGAAGGACATATGGGGTTTTGGTTTTCGTCTAAGAGCTCAGGGTTTGCAGGGTTTGAAGGCTAATTGGGGTTCAGGCTTGAGGTCTTTGGGCTTTAAGTCGGTTTTGTGGGTGAATCTGGTGTGGGGTTTAATTACGGATTGCGAACTTTAAACTTCAAGAGCTTGGGACCCTGGGATGCCTGAGCCGAAGTTCGATGCAAACCTGAAATTCCTAAAGCCGCAACCTCTAGAGTTCGACAGACCGAGCCCTAGGCTACAAATGCTCTGAAGCCCAAACCCTGAACTAGCGACAGGCCAATATCCGGCTACAGCAAGCTGTCGAGTTCTGCGCTCAGAGCATCCAGGAAGGGTCTAGGTGTAGTGCATGAAAACAGTTAGTGGCATTTTCCGACCTCGCCTTGTCTTAGTGCTGAGCAAACCCGAAACCTCCAAATCTCCCTGCGGCCCAGTAACCCTTATTAAGAGAACTGAATAATCAATAGGGAGCAAACGGCTCCTTTTCATGGGGGGATACTGGCACCCTATAAACCCTCAGCTCATTTAGTCTTCGGGGTTTGGGGTAGCTGTTCGAAAACGATTTCGATGCCTCAATTGGGCTTGCTGGCTGGCAAAAGCAGTCATGTACTACAAACACCTTGTGCTACCAGAACTTTTCACAGTGCTGCAAGGTTTCTATAGCCGTAGTTTGTATGTGAGGATGTGGTATTGCGAGGTGCTAAATCCCAAGTTTGAAGCATGTTGAAGACAGGCGCAACGAGGGCTACCTCAAAGCGCACGTGGGCTACGACATCAACGGGAGCGACGTGCCTCGCTCGTTACTGCTTCCTTCAAAACACAACCTGCTTTGTTGTAGGGTCCATAATTTTAGTCTTCAGCAGGATTCCTGCCAAGACCGTGCGAAAATGTTTCTGGAGTGTTGCATTGCCCTCTCCTGCTGCTTGTGTGAGGGAGTTCTCATAGAATCATCCAATCGGATGCTGCGCTTCTTCTGTTCTATGAAGTATACCTGAGGCAGCGTGCAGGCCAGAACAACAAGTAGAAACGTGTGGATCATATCCCTTGTGGTCCCAATATACGTCGATCATATACCCATAACTCAGCTTTCGCAAAGGCCCTCGGAGCTTCCTCGTAATCTGAAGCACATGCTTCCTGATCTTCGATCTTCTTCAGACATGTTCCTAATGATGGTTGATTCATGCTTCCGCTGGACCCACCACGACATGCCTTACATAAGGCAAACCCCCGAATTGAGCTTCTTAAAACCCCCCAAAAGCCTTCTGACGGCACAGCATCCGAGCGCGTTCGCTGAGGTGGGCTCCTACACCGTAGTGTCTGCTGAGTCCTTGGGCGTCGGCGTCTTCTCTGTGGCGCGGGGCTTGGATGTGTTGAGCCATAGCTGGTTGCAGTGTGTCGACAAAGGGTGTGTGGGGTATTGTGGGGTATCGGTAAGGACGATTGCTGTAAGTTGTAGCACTGTCAGGACATTGTACAGTTTGACGCCTTGCGTTTAGAAGTTGCGAACAAGACTGTAATCCCTGTCACCCTACACCCAGTATTTCACGGAATGATCTTGGGGCTGCTCACAAGTGGACGTGAAATTTGTTCCAAGTCCACATGACCAGGTGGTGCACAGAAAAGTGAATGATTTGTTATCGCATCGCGGTGGGTCAATTCGGGGGGGGGGGGGGGGGGGGGGCTAGCATGTATGTATGTATGTATGTATGTAGGTATAGGTGTGTATGTTTATGTACATATATATATATATATATATGTATACCGGTATACGTATGTACGTACGGTACTGTGCCCCAAGACCCAAGATCCTGCTCTGTTTATTGAAAGGCCTCTATCTCAACCGTTCGGAAAGCTCCGACAGGTCTGGCCCTGTGCCGACAAGGAGAACAAGCTTGTGGCAATGAAAGTGATCCGACATCAGGACGGGAAGTATCTATGCCCCTCCAAGCAAGACTTGAGAAGGTTGGGACGTGTCCTGGACCTGGTAGATTGTAGTGGGTAACCGTTAAGTTGTTTTGGAGATGTGCGCCGTTATTCCGGGCTTGATGTTGTTCGCAGAGTTGCATTGGGTCGTGTGCCCAGGGTGCATCGCCCTCAGAAGGCACTGAACCTCTGTACTCAGCCTACAATGCTTCCAGGACCACTTCCGCAAGTATGCCACCCGAGAGGTGCACCTTGAGCCAAACTTGCCGCGTGATGGAAAGCTTCGCATGATGAGAAACAGCCCACCCATGTTTGCCTTCGAACGGTTTCGTTGGGAAAGCGCAAAGTTGTTCTCCGCGAGATCCACGGTCCACCGCGAGGGTTTGGCAGGGAGGTCCTTTGAAGCGAATGGTTTCAAGGGCTCTTCAATGAAGGAAGTGTTTTGGGGATAGGGTTTCGCCAGCCGAACAGAAGCACATATATACACATATGTACAAACAAAAACAAGGCACATAACTGTACGTATACATATACATGTCTACATGTATGTATGTATGTATATATATGTATATATTATATGTGTTGCGTATGAGATCCCAAAACATCATAACTCCGCCCACCCCTCCGCAGTCCCCATGCACGTGCCGAATATATTCCTTCCCCTCTAGAACCTAGCCTGACTTTTCAAGCCCGATAGCAGTCAGAAATCTTTCGACTCCCAAGAACACACATGAGAGAAGGTTTCACAAATACTCGGAGCAACTCCTAACCTTAGGATGACCGACTTTGTATTACACAGGTACTTAGCAAGGAGCCTTTGGAATACCCTCAAACCGGCCACCCTGAGATCCATCATGAATCACCGCGCATCCGTTTCTTGCAGAGCAAGAGAGGTGGAGGTGCTCAAGAGGGCTGCGGAACTGCAGGAGCAGGTGCCTGGGGCTGTCGAAACTCGGGTTTCGCCCTAATTAAACAAAATGCCGAATCATTTTCATACAGTTGAAAGGTTATGATCTGTAATGCCTGCTCCAATAAGCAGTCATCTTCTCCAGAGTCCTTCCATTTCACTGCAGCCCATATGCTTCGCCTTGAACCCCTTGCTTGGACCCTTGAAACCTGCACAAAACCCTTGAAGCCCTTCAGTCGGCCTGGTTCGAGGATCCCGAGGGAGCAGCCCTCGTGTCACTGGTTCGGGACACCTTCGTCCACAAGGACAAGCAAAGGGATAAGGACTTGTATCAGGGCTTGATGACAGGGCCGTGTAGGGTTCTACAGGGGGTTACAGCTTGAGGGTGTATGGGGTCCATGGTGTTCAGGCTTCAGGTATGGATTGTCGAACATACTGCAGTGACACCCTCCACGGCATGAGACATGCATGATTTCGACCCCCAAAGCATTAAGCTTGGAACCTGCAAGCCTTCAGCAAGCTCAGAACCCAACATTTTGGGACTTCGTTTCCTCATGCACTTGCACAGCAGGCCTCAATCCCAAAGTGGTTTGAAGTTGCAGAAAGAGCTGCTAGCTGTTGCAGGTTCCCAGCCCTACGGGCGAGCTGGAGTACCTGTGCATGTGCTTTGAGAAGTGCAGGACTTGAAATTGGCCGGTCAATCGGGGGCTTATAGGCGATGACTATGACTAGAAGGGTCAGCTCAATTGCTCAGAATGTTCATCGACTCGTTTCGGAGATGAACTCGGGTTCAAGCTTCAGTGCGTGTGCATGCGTGTCCACTTCGGGACTTCGGTGTACCTGCCAGGTGGCTGCAGCCGTTTGTTTAAGCATCCTACTTGCCGCTCTGGGGGATCCCTGCACGAATCATCATAGTAGCTCATAGTCACTTCTATAGAACATGTAGATGCCCTCCTGTATAATTAGTGTATGGATTTAGGAACCTTTGGGTGGAGCTGAAGGCTGGAATCCAACCTCCGCAAGATCGGCAAGCAGCCGCCAAAGCCTCAGAGGGATCCCGAAAGTGTGCCGACCAAAGCCTACATGCCCCGAGGTACTCTGGCGGTAACCAGGGGCAGACCCTGATTCAGACCTCATGGGAGCCTCACAAAATACGAGCCTCCGACCGAGCCCCAAAGCATTCAAACCTTACTAAGCTTGGGAAGAATTTTATTTACTGGCAGAGCCTCCAATATGGGAGTTGCACTTGCGCAGGAAGGTTCGTGTGCGAGTGATTCTTAGCGATGCAAAAACTGAAGTTTGAACTAGTGCTTTTCGCAGGCAGACATGTAGCACTGCAGAGTGTCATCCAATGTGAGGATGATGTCACTTGTTGCACGAAGTCAGCTGCGATCTATCGGGCATGCATGCAGCGTTTATATTTCGGTGTTCACGGTTGTGGGTGTAGGGTTTAATTAGTGTATTGTTATGTTGAGGGGCTTTATAGGTTTGAGGGGTCTTGAACCGATTTGGTCTGGGGTTTGGTACGTACAGGTAAGTGCAGCTATACGGGGAGGATACGCATGGCATCATCGCACCGAGTTTGTACTATGTGGATACTTCGGACTTGGGGTCGCCGGATAAACATAAGTCACACTAGTGACTAGTGTAATTGCTGCCCAAAAATCAAGTTCAGAAAAAGGGGTAAGTAGCCCATCGATCAACCGACTCCTAAGGCTAGAGAAGGTGCTCCACTTCGGGAAGCAGATCATGCGCTCCTTGAGGCAGAACCGAAAGCAGAGTCACTGCTCCAAACCCCTGCTTCTTGACAGGCTGCAAATCGGGATTCTATGGGAATGTTTGTGAGCCCTTCCTCTTTGTTTGCATCTAGTATTCATCTGCAGACTCATGGTGCTACAAGTAGGATTTCTGTTGAGGCCCGGCCACAGAGGGTGAGCACACTTTTCGGAGCATTCACCTCCACGAGATCCCACAATGACTTTCTTACGAAATCCTTGGCCCTGAAACCTTGACCCCGAAGCCCTACACTGTATCCGGTATAGGTTTGTCGCCGGAGCTTTCGCAGAATTGGGGGCACTGAGGATGCCGGGCATTGCAGACCAAAGCCTTGTGGCTTGAGGCTTTGCAGCCCACAGACTTTGAGGCTTACAGACGGAGTTTCATTCGCCTAGACTTCGGTAAGAGGGTTTCCATCAAGAAAGTACAGAATCAAAACTGTCCCTTCGTGCGTCCCTACCTCAGCTCAGGTGATGGAGCTAAACTGAAGGCAGGCGAAGCCAGACCCGGTCTCCGTTTCCCTAAGTACCCATACGTGTGGTGGGGGGGGGGAAAATTTGCAGCTTAACAAAGTGTAGAAGCCCTGCTTTGTACTATGTTGTGTCAGTATGCGTATCTCACTGTCTAATGAACGTACTTGTGTGACGCTTTGGGGATCTCCATCTCTCCTTTTCTTCCACTGCGCCATGGCCGACACATTGAACGTGCGGGCTATTTCAGGCCTGGTGGGACTCTACCAGTTGTTTGGATGAGTGACCGGCACGACTGGGGCACATGGCTTCAGGGCATGTACAGTACCGAAGCTGCCTCATCTAGAGGCCTGAATTGGCAATAGCATTCCCTTCAGTCTTTGTAAAGTCAGACTATGAGATATAACCCGAAGCCCGATAATTATTCTCGTTATCAAGGCCTCTGTATCCGAGGCATGGATGTCCGCATTCCCCCAGTCCGCATGGCTCACTCATCAGGAAGACCCTCGACGTGGAGTTACTGTAAGTGCCTGTAATGCATACGTAAAAAAGCCGTATATAATGGCTATCCCTACTCAACATAGAAACCCTACTTGGAAGTGTATACTATGTTGACGCAGACGGTTCACCGGATTCCCCTGCTTCGGTACCCCAGCTCAGCCCATTCGCGAAGTCGGGGTCGGGGATTAAGACAGCGCCAACCGCCTTGGCATCGCAGGCGAAATTGTGCTGGCGCTCACTGCAGAAGAACTGCAGGCATGGGCCAGCGCAGAGGCGCGGCAAGGATTGGGGCTTGGACGGGATTCTGCAAAATGGAGGTTAAAGCACGAAGAAACGACGTGGGCGAAAGGTCGAAACACGACTTACATTCCAAGGCCTTGTAAACCCCAGACAAGCCCTGTCCACCCGAAGCCCCGAACCCAATCCCTGCAAAAAGACTATAGATCCCATAGAAACAACAAGGCCCTCCTGAACCACCCGAGGCCCCGAAATCCTTCGAGCTCGGCTCAGGGTCTCAAGGGTGTGACTGTGCTGATGCTCAAGCAGCGCCTACAAGGCCTGGAAGAGAAGTTAAAACAGTCACAAACCACTACCCCCGGACCCCCGAATCGTTTGACAATGTACATAGAGGCTGGAAAGAATGTTCGGGTTGAGGGTGAAAGTGTCAGCTTTTGAAAAGCGATGGCTGTCACTGAACTATTCCGTCTGTGGAGTGGGAAGCTCGCGGCGATAATTTTTAGGTTCAGGGCCGGCCTTCCTCAAGGATAGGCCTTTCAAAAAATCAGATAGGCATCAAAAACAATTTGATAAGCATCTAAAACACTTAAATAGGCATCTGAAAAAATTATAGAAATAAAGAGAGAGAGAGAGAGAGAGAGAGAGAGAGAGAGAGAGAGAGAGAGAGAGAGGGAGAGGGAGAGGGAGAGCACCAGAGAGCCCGTCCGCCCCAATGCCCGGCAGAGAGAGAGAGAGAGCGCCGCAGCCTCCTCTCAACAACCAATGCCACAGCAGCCGCCGCCGCAAAACACGCCACCCCAACCACAAGCCTACCACTGGCAACAGCCCACACAACCGCCACCACAGTACGATCCGAACACGGATCCCTGGCCACAACCTTACCAGCACAATCCCCCTCACTCCCAACATGCCACAGAGGGGGCACCCTCACAACCACAACCACTACCACAAGCCCAACAGGGGCAAAAGACCGGAGTGCTCCTACTGACAAGCCAACCTCCGGACAACCCTGCACGGCAAGTCGCACAAGGCCTGGCACAGATGTACAAACAACAACAGCAAGCGCAGCATCAGCCACCACCACAAGAACCACCTTACACAGCGGCTCGGCTAGCCCAAGAACACGGGTTCGCATACTACGATGCCTGGGGGAATCTACGCGACCCAGATGGACAAATCATCGAAGCGCCAAGCACACCACAACACCAACAACCGCAAGCCACCGGACCGACAGCCACGGGAGCCCCCATCCGCCCCCACGGCATTGCCTATGCCAGCGAATACAACCCCGACACGGACCCGTGGGCCAACTACCAGCCGACAGCAGTGGCCACCCCCCAACAAGGGGGAGAACCACACCACACTACACCACCCTCAACGGACCAACCGACGGTCTCACCTACACATACTGACCAAGACCCACAACCACAACAGCCACAGCCGGAAGCCACCACAGCCGACACCGCAGACCCGACAGGCGACACACAGCCCTCCCCTTCGACAGCCACCACAGCGGGGGAAGCTACACCGCGCCTGGCCGTCCGGTCTCCTTTCGAGACGGTGACAGGAACACGCCTCCCACCAGGCGGCACCAAAGCCATCCCAGGGATGACCATGCGTGAACACTACACGTGGATCACGACTGGGAATATCCCTACAAGCTACATCGAGAGAGAACTCCTACCCACACCCGATGAGAACAGCGGGGGAGATGGAGGCAGCACGCAGGGGGACGGCGCTCAGCCAGCATCAACACAACAATCACCACGACGCCGCAGCGCCCAGCCAAGACGCCACCGCCAGCATGAAGGAGGGGGATCCACCCGCACGAGAAACAAAGCGGAGAAATACCGCATCAAGCGCTGGCTGAAAGCCAACGACCTGCACCACACTAGGTGGGGACAACATCTACTCAGCCAGGACCAAGTACACCACAACAACACACACGCAACACACGCCGACGCAGCCCCAGCAGAGAGCAGCCCACCACCCACATGGCAACCGCCCCAGCTCAGCACAAGCGAGCGGGCCCACTACTTTCGGCTGTTGAACCCCGGGCAACCACTACCATCGCACCTGACCACACCAGAAACACCTACCAACCCAGAGCAACCATCCACGGCGACCAAAGCATCCACCTACACTCCCCACTGGAACCCCGACGACGCAGACACCACCGCCACGACAGCCCCGCAAGCAACTAGCTACTACCCCACCAGAAGACCACCACAACAACCAACCACACAGGCCGGGGATGAACCACACAAACCCCGCGCCCCAACGCTCGGAGGGGAACACTCCTCCCCACCTCCACTGCCACACTCAGCCATTACCACCACCAGCCACACAGCCCTTAGAGCAGGTAAATGGCTCAGTCGGATCGAGTTCCAGTCCGACATACCTGCACACACCGGGGGAACAGTCCCACCCCCACCAACTGGGATGCCACTCGGAGCCTACCCTCCCATCAGCGGAGAAACCTGGCTCATCATGGAACCAATCTCCGAAGCCCGCTGGCTAGCCACTGTCACGCAGACCCCAACAACCCAGCAGCAGGAAGCACACAGCATGGCCCTACAGGTGGGAGACCAGTTCCTCCTCATGAGAACCAGGACGCACTGGAACATGCAATTCACTACCACCACCCCTGACCGGTTTTTCACACCGGGGGACCCACAGCCACAGCCAACAACAGACGGCAGCAGCCCCGGAGACAGACGACCCCCAAGACACCAACCAAGACACGTGGCACGACCAAGCCAGCCACCCACAACAACAGTGGGGAACACACGAAGCTCACAGCACCAACCACGACTGGCACACACCAGAGCCAGAAGAGACACGACCAGCTCAACCAGAGCAAGACGGGGGGGAACAACAACCACAACCACCACAACAACAACAACCACGCAACCCCCTCTCGGACGGCAGAACCCTACGACGCTCCAGCTCGGAAGCCCAAGCCGCCACAACCCACCACCGTGCACAACCCGCACCCACTCCATGGTTCGAGCAGATACGAGATGGAAGGCAATTTGGCCCAAAACCGAGCCCTGCGCCGAGCCCAGCTCCCGATCATGACCGCATAGAGCTTATGCAGAGGGTGCCGGAACTCACTACATCGTCCTCTACCAGTACCACCTCGACACCACCAACGGCAAGATCGCCAGACCAAGAGGGGGAAAGCCACTGGAACGGAACAACTACCGACGAAGAGAACTGCGGCATGATCCGCAGACGCAGGCGAACACCGTTGGTAGACCAGCTTTACGGGGCGGCCAGCGTCCACAGCCGCAGGCTCCACCGACCCACCGCCAACCACACGAGCGGGGGAGGAACCGGACCTGCAAGCCCTACTGGCAGCACAGAGGGGGGCAATAACAGCTACCCTCGCGCAGCTGCAGATGATCCACGAGGTTGCGGACGGCCTTGCCAATCGAGATGGAGAAATCATCTCCAACATCTGCGCGATCGCGCTCCGTATGCTCTCTCAGGCAGATACCCACCCAGAAGCCAGAATGTGGGGGAGAACTGTCATGGGGGAGCCGACAGGGATGAGTGAAGCCTACCGTTTTGTGGCTTCCATGCGAGTACGACGGGGAGAAGGCTTCACCCCGGAAGAGTTCGCGACCGACCTCAGCCAACTCCGAGCGATGATAGAGGCCGGGCTGTCCGAGCTTCAGGAACCCATGCCACGGGACGTCACAGAGGCTAGCGTCCAGAAAGCTTCCGCAAAGCTGCGCGAAGCATACACCATGGTCGATGGAGTGATCCTACGTGCACTAGGAGGGGAACGAGACTGGAATACGCTGGCCTGGTGGAACCAGCTACATGACCTACTGTCACCAGCCGCGCTCCTCGCGACCAAAAAGGGGGAAGCATACACAGTGGAGGACGACCCCTCCACGGCCCATCCCGCTGACGTGCTCAAGCTCAGCCGGGGGGGAACCAAAGAGTGGGAAGCGCGCACAGATCGCCGAGCCAGCGCGACAGAGAGACTACTGCACGGCCAAACGGCTCAAAGACATCGTGCCCTATGTGTCGGACACGGTCCTGCTGCCAGTGGTGGAGCTCCTGCACGCTGTGCAAGCCTGGCAACAGGCACTGTTCGGGGGAGTACATGCAGTACATGAGAGCACACAAACGGGGGAAGCAGCGGTGGACTATGACCGGGAGCCAGAGAATGCCCACGGGTCCAACGCGCAGCTTCGCGACACCGAGAACGAGGCAACGGACCTGCACCCCCACGCCGTGGACAACGGAGAGAACCCGACAGCACCGGGGGGAGCGCTAACTGCGGCCCAAATGGAGGCAGTCATGACTGCCAGTCTCCAGCAGGCGGTCAACGAAGTGGGGGAGATGGCAACACTACCAACACAGACCGAAAGTGAAGCCCCAACGTTGCCCTGGCCCGCACTATGGCCTGGAGGGGATCACGAACCAGAACGTCCTGAGAGAAGCCGCTCTAGAAGCCCCCATCGCGATGATGACGACGGGGGAAGCCACCGCCGAAGGCGGTTACAAGCAGCTTTCTACGGTAAGCACGGGCCCTACTAATCGGGGGTGATGTCACTGTTCGAGGGAGTCCATGCTTTTAAAATGTACACCATACTTTGTGTGGGGACCTGTGCGAACCAGTGTAATAGCTACAGTGCAGCCAGGGGGAACATGACCGGGGGAGCAGTTGTAAGTGTACTGTCCTGTACTGACTTACCTCGCGAGTGTTTCGGCCCGGCCCTCAGAGTGAGTGTGTGCAGTAACTGTTAGACTTGCCAGTGTCCTTTTGACTTTCCAGCGGAGGGGATTGCACTGTTATGCACCAAAACCCCCAGGCTAAGGAACCAATGCTGCCGGTTCCCAGCCGAAAACGGGGGAATGTTCCCTGTATAGCCGAGCCGCTCTGAACGATGTTTCGGAGGGGGAACAGACCATCCGCGAACTGCGGGTGTGCGGTGCGCACGGGGGGATGGCCCAGGACGCTGGCCTGAACCCCAAGCCCGGTAGAGAGAGAGAGAGAGAGAAAGAAAGAAAGAACGAAAGAAAGAAAGGTTGACAGAGAGAAATAAAGAGCACAAGAACGAACGAAAGAAAGGAGGAAGGAAGTAAGACATGCATAAAAAACAAAGTTTCACAGAAGAACGGAAAGGAATGAACGAACGAAATGAAGAAAGAAGCCCCATAACACAAGCAAGCTTGGAAAAACACGAAAGTGAAAGAGCATGAAATAAGTGCATAAAGACAGAAACACCCAATAGAGCAGTACATAATCTACTACAATAAAACATACCACAATGCGACATAGCATAGACACAATCAGCAAGTCGGACACCCCGAAACCCTAAACCTCAGAATTGGTCGAGGCAAATTGTCCTAGGAATTGCTGCACAAATGATTTGTGTTGTTTTGCTGTTTTTTTTTAAACTGATCCTTGGATTGAATCTTTTTGATGCCTATTTCTTTTTGTGATGCCTCACCCCTTTAGGCTGCAGGGCAAGGAGATTAGACTCCTTGCAAAAGGTGGAACTTCTGCTGCAGGGAAGCACCCGGAAATCCTAAGCTTGTTTTGAATGCTCTCTTAGCAGTGCAGATGGGTGCGCAGTTCAATGCCCAAACCGGCATGACTACCAAGCCCTGAAGAACATAAGCCTAAACCCTAAACCCTGTTTTGATAGGTTTGGGTGTACTTTGCCAGGCATTTGCGGACTCTCGAGATTCCGACAGAGGCGCCGCCTCGGGAAGTTGCACTCTGCTGCGTCCGGATGACATGAACAGTGGTCGAGCTGTGTCTGGGAGCTCATCTGTCCCAGAGGAATCAAAGCCCCTCAACATCCCAATGCTGAATTGCTAGCCTCATCAGGCAAACGAACTTCAACCTTGACTTGAGCTTTCCATCATCAGAGCATCGGAGCCGGCTAGTCCCAGGATTCTGGCGGCACGCAGCGCAGTGCTGCACGACGTCATCCATGTGCAGGCTCCCTTCATGGGTTCCGAAAATCAAGGATCGTAAATACATACATACGTCCATACATACGTACATACAAAATTAGTACACAGCAAGGTTGCTGCTTTGGATTTGCAACTATCATAGTTTTATTAAATCTCCCCCGTAGCAGGTGTTGAGGATCATTTGGCAAAGTTGGCTTTGCAAAGCAAGATTGGCACTCGAGGCATCGGACACGGAAATGAGATTCACGATGCTGGAGTGCAGTGAGAACCGGAGCTTCTGGCAGAGACCTACATCTTGCTCGAGCTCATCTCTGTGAACTTAAAAGCTTGCACGCCCCGCAAGACAAGGCATAAGAAAGCCAAAAGGCTAAACCTTTAAACCGCGACAGCTTAAAGCCTAAAGCTCTCCAACCTAAACCCTAATAAAACTCTTACGCACCGTAAAGCCTCGCGAGCCCCAGAGCCCTAACACGCGTATCCATGCAGTCAAGAGCATCCTGAGTACCTCGTACGGGTGGGATACTTACTAATGCCTTGCAAAAGCCATACAATCAACAGTAACTCCCAGCAACCTGGAAATCCAAAGCCCCAAACTGTGAGAACCCCAATCTGAACCGCGAATTTAGAAACCCTATAGCTGGTATGTGTGTGGAGTACCCGTTGCGTCAGGCGCCCGGAGAGCTGCAGCTGGCGCTCCTCCCTTTTGCAGAGGCCTGGTAGAATAGTCGGGGTTGAGGCACTTTTTGGGTGTAACTGGAGCTCCAAGATTTCGGGCTTCAGCGGTTTAGGATTTAGGTTTTCCCGGAGAGGCAAGTGTCAAGGTCCCTCACACCCCCTAAAACCCTTGCACAACCGCATAAAATTACTTAAGAAGAATCCAACCGAGCGTCTAAAAATCGAGGCCTCCAAGCCAGAGATCGCTGCGCTCCTCCTGGCATGCCATGAAGAGGACGCCAGGATGTTCCTGAGGATATATAGGGTATAGGGTAGGGGCTGGGGTCTATGGCTCAGGGTTCTGGGGTTCAGGGGTTCATGGCCGGAAGTGCTCTGGCTATTGCATAACAGCCCAGGACTTCGATCTCGTGGACGAAATCCTCCACAGGCAGCAGGGGTTCCGGGGGTCAGAGACTACTATACTGGCAGAGGCCTAAATAATCGCAAAAAGCATCGCCTGATATAAGCGCTTTAACCATATCCACTGAAAGTCCATGGATCAGTGCAACGCTGTAGGGAAGCACTTGAGACATGCCGAAAGCAATGGTAGGCTTCGACCCTCGACCCATACCACAGGACACTTCAACAGCCTCTTCCAACTGTTCAGGTCCCTACTTGTACCAGTTCGAGGGATGCCTGAAAAACTGGCGGAACGTACTTCTCTTCAGGGGCTATCTGAAAAGCATTGGATATAGAGTTTACAGGGGCCCAACAGAAAGACGTTGTGGTAGTTCAATTTAGTGGTGTTTCCGGGTTGATGGTAGCATCGACCGTATGCTCCGGCCTGCTTTCGTGATGGAAGTTTGCTCCCTGGCCAGCAAGCCTGCAAACTGCTCAGGCCTCAAAATCCAGATCTCAGCAACGATGCTCGGAATATGATAGAGTTCTGGATGAGGTGGCACTTTGGGATCATGTTCGTTTCGCGCTAATTGAAGTTATGGTCGTGTTAAGTTTCCTGCTCTTATAAGCTCTTAAGTAATGTTCGGGGCCCTTAAACCACAACCCAGTACATCAGGACGCCGAAGTCGTTGCTAGACGGTGCTTCTTATCCGAGCGACGTCCGCACGCTGAACTGAGTCATAGCTACAGCGTGGGCTTCGTGAGATAACACTTCATAAAATCTCGGAAATGCCAGGGTCATCCCGTGGTTAAGATGCAGAACCTGACCTCCATTGCATAGAAAGCTCATGGTCCTGAACACCCGAAACAAAATTAGGCTTATGCATGTAGAAGCCGTCAGTGGTGCCCTTGATGTGTCGCCCTCCTTCACGGTTCCACGGTCAGGGCTACGGTTACACATCTACACTGTATTTTACTGTACATGTGATCTGCTTTCATCACCTGAACCTGCGACCCTAACCCTAAATAGAGCAGAGCACAGCCTTTGCTGAGGACAGGGGCTTAACGGCATTGGTCGCTGCAACGGAAGTTGGCAATGCAGATATCGCCACCCTCCTGCTGGAGGCAACGCTCCTCTTATGGTTCTAGAATCTAACATCGAGGTCCTGCCGACTTATTCCACACAAACCGCACCCGAGCCAAATCAGTATGCAAGAGCTCGTTGCAAGCACGACATGCGAAAGCAGGAAATGATGTGTCCGGCCTGAGCCTTGATGCGGTCCTAAGTCCTAGCAAGCCCAATAGTACAATCTATACATCTTCTACATTAAGGAGTCTCAATAAGTCTGTAAGTATCTCCCGTGTGGCCCATGCACATACGTGGGTGCTTGGGGATCAGGACCAGGAGACCTTTAAGCCAAGCGGACTCAGTCCCTCACTGAAGGCAGAACTCAGTGAATGAGTCTTCCGGATAGTCTTGCTATCTTCGATTCTTGGCAGTGCAGACGCTTGCTTTGCTTGCATGGGTTGCCTTATACGGGCCACTATAGACAAATACGGGTTTCGACCCCGTTTTCCTAAAGTAGAAGCCACAAAGTGGGGACATCACTATCCTCATGACCCCATTGCAGGGAATCCCAGCACCAACCATCCTACCACCACGTTCCAACTTTCCGGATGTTCAGAATCCGAGGGCGCAAGTTGTTACCAAGACTTTGCTGAGGAAGCCAATCCGGGGTCTCTACGAGGAATGCTGGCCCAACTCATAGACTCTTCTGTGTTTGGGGACCCTTTGCGTTATCAAACTGCCGGAGGCAAACGCGGACAAGAACTTGGTCGACAGTTTCGGAGCCACGGCTCTTTCCGTCGCATGCGAAGGACGATTTACACAGGCGAGGCTGCACACCCATAGCTGAGGGTTCCCCTAAAACCCCGACACCCTTATGTGCCTGCATCGCCGGGGATCCTACGTTCGGAATTTCATCTCTTGCTTGAATCCTGCAGACCCACGGACACAGTCTTCATCAATACCATAATTAAGACTTGTGAGGACTTGCCAACGAGGGCAAGTTTGGTCCCGTTTTAGGAAGGCTCTTTGGCATGCCCTTATCCACTCTTACCCGGTGGGCGTCTGACGCGTCTCTGCATGCAAGGCTGCCATCAGTATTGGATTCTCGGTTGGAAGGGGATGATCGTTGCAGTCGTTTGTGCTGTACCTGCTGCACCATGATAGGTCGCGAATGTCCTGATCGAGGCCCGTGCGGATGTAAACAAGGCGCGGCTCCGAAGGGGTGGAATTCAGGGATGGGCTCCTGTTGTCAGAGGGAAAGCACCACCACGTCCGCTTCGTGATGAGATCAGCGAACTCTCGAAGCCTTGCTTGTAGGCTTGTCCTGAACATGCCCCGAACTCCTAAAACACCTGAGCCTAAACTGATCTACACCTTGCAATGAAAGCTTCCAGAGGCCAAGCTCCAGGGCGAAGCGCCTTTGCTGACGGCCTGCCGGACTGGTGTGCAAGCCATTGTCGAGGTGCTGCTGCGAGCCAGAGCCAATGTGAACCAGGCCGGTGCCGCGAGTTTCGGTTTGATGGTTCAAGGTCGACACGCCAGAATCCGGAGGCTAGGCCTAGGCTTTAGCGGCTAACCTCGACAATGTCTGCCTTCCATAACTGAACTTGAAGGTGAATGACAACGGCGAGAGCCCTCTCTACCACGCTGCGAGACAAGGCCTGAAGGAGGGCGTGATGTGAAAATGTTCGAATTGAGTTCCATAAACTATACTGTTCAACCTGGAGACATGCAAAGAGGGAGCCCTCGGCCGGCTTCTGCTCACAGCACCGATGCAGATTTGACTTTGCTCCGAGGTTCTTCCAGCTTGACCTAGCAGTAGCAGTTGACTGCCTCATGTCTGCTCCAGTCAGCAGACGTGTTGACACGAAGATTCTGCGGTTCTACTGTTAACATCGGAGCCGTTTCATATTCTCTACTGAAGTTGCTGAATTTCTGAATCCAAATCTGTTATCATGCGCTGAAACAAAGGCTGTCGAACTTTGCCGTAAATGGCCCAGTTCTATTGAGCGGAAATCACAAACCAGCTATATGCAAGCAGGCAGTTCTCCTCACCTTAACCTTCGTAGCGGCCGCATCCCTGCCCCAGTCCCAAGTGTCCGACGCTGCCAGGTCAGTGGGGTTGTGCCCGCATTCTACTGGAAGCTGGAGCACAGACGGATCTTTGCAGCTGCAACGGAAAGCATTCGGGTGGCACACCGCTCTTCGTAGCTTCTTGGATGATCTTGCCCAAACTCGTCAGGTTCACGCTTCAGAGGCTATTTTTGCAGCTCCTGCTCCGTGAAGTTCGGCGAAAGCCCTGCATCCACAACAAGCTACAAGCTAGAGTTGAGCAAGCCTAGCATAGACTCTTAACTCTACACGCCAACTGCCGAAGCCCTTAGCTCATTCCAGGCTTTCTCAACCAGCCTCTCATTCGTTTTTCAGGCTTCTTCCATTGGCTCCCTTCAGATCGTGGACTTACTCCTGCGCTTCCGAGCGGACACGGAGAAGGCCACCGACGCCGGAAGTACTCCGCTAGGACAGCCGCAGGGATCGCCTGAAACTCAGGGACTGCACTCCTTTCAGTGTGCAGAGAGACTCTAGCTCCTGGACAATCGGGTTTAGAGTTTGGGTCGTTGGGCTTCGGGCTCAACCGGAATCTAGGGTGACAGGGTTTTTGTTTCAGAGCTAGGGGTTGGGGAGTCCAGTGCAGATTTTGCAAATCGGAGTTTCATTTCGGCAGCCTTCTCGCTGCTGAACTTTCACAGGTAGAAGCTTTGCCCCAACTTCTGGAGGGTTTCCCCTGAACCCTACGCCCGAAGGATTTTGGCTGGTCCCTGGATGCTTAGTCGGTATCCCCGTGTTGTCTCCCAGACCCTGTTCTAATTATTGAGGCCCGTATCTTGGATCGCCATTGAACACTCACCTGATGAAGGCCCCTATATGAGGAATTAGAGGAAGGCATGCTGGTTGCTTCGTGCTGTATATCGCAATCGTCTTGCCGGCTCAGCCAACCCAGGAGTTGCGTTTGACATCAACCGCCTGGATGTGGCACCATGGCCTTGAAGTTACAGGCTTGGTGGACCTTGGTGAGGATGTTCGTTTTGGGGGTTTATTGTAGCCGCATTTGCCGCAAGCCCTAAGCCCTTTTTGTAAGGTTAAACCTGAAGCCCCAATAGCCCAAAGCCTGATAGAGCCGGAAGCTGTGCGAGTTTGGCGCCGTGTGTTTTGTCGTTTGTTTGTGCCTGGGGCTTATGGAACCACTGTTTGTATGCTGCGAAGCCATTACCGTCAGAATATGCTTGGCCTAAGTATCCTCCGTTTAGGCATTTGTGGGTCTTGAGAGATGCTGACACTTCTTCGCCCTCATGCCGTTCAAGGCTCCTTACCTCTTGGATTCATCCAGATCTGCAAGTAGAATTAAAGTGACAAACCCTTAGTCCAAACTTCATCAGCTCTAGACCCAGCACCCCTGTAACTAGCATCATTAGCTGACTAGCTGCGCCCAGACTCTTTACTCCTAAGAGCATTGAAGTGCGGACCGACACAAACCTAGAGCGACCCCAGTTGCCACGGTGCCAGAGTTTCCGGGTTTGAGCTTCGAGTTTAGAGAGTGCCTGAAGATGAAGCGTTTGCTTGGGCTCGGCCAGGCTTAGGTATGCTTCCAATCTTCAAGAAGCCACCCGATCACATTCCGCCGAGTCCTCCGCACTTCCCTTGATGCAAGAAGCCCCATGCCTCTACACCGGCTGCCAAGATGCTTGCAAGACAGCCAAGAGCAACACTGAGGTAAAGCTGCTCTTGGAAGCGGGTGCTGGCAAGAAGATGAGCCGATCAGCGAGCATCGTCCTGGACTTTGCGGCGAGAGTGCGGCCCAGGGACACTCAGAGCTACCCAGAATTCCCAAAGCCGATTAATCAAGGAATCTCCGAGTCAAACTCGTCCTCGAAGTCAGTGAGGGGTCTTAACAGGCGTAGCTACGTTGGGCCTCCTGGCCACCTCGTCGTTTCGCCCCTCGAAGCTACGGCGTGCATCGGACGACAAGAGCAGAACCTGGTACGGTTGGGGTTTAATCAAGAGTTTATTGTAAGGTTGTTGGTTTGGGCAGTATAGGATTGTAGCAAGCGCTGGGGTTCACAAGGTCTTACAGGCTCTTTAAAGGATTCTAGAGGTACCTGAATAAGTTGTAGCGCTTTTTCAAAGGGCTCCCGAAGTTCTAACTGTAAAGCCCCCAAAGCCGTAGACAAAATAATTTCAGTCGTATATACTGCAGGGCTCATGTCTAGAGGGCTTAGGGTTTGGAGGGTGTAGGGTTTTAGGGTCTACATGCGGGTCAGGGCTTGTGTGAGGATTGAGGGTTTCACCATGTTTCGGGTCTAGTGATTGACGACTTCTTTTCCGGTCTAAAGCACGATTTGTCGGTTGAGGTGTTTAGAACGGCGCACGCACGAACATCGTGGTTGCAATGCGGAGAAGGAGGAAAAGCTGACAGGATGCTAGCAACTGCAGGTCTTGCAACAGTACATGAGTATGCGGTACCAGTATATGCCAATGATCATATTTACTATCCGTTGTATCTTGCCAAAAAAGTATCTTCATCCCACATACTCGTACCTACTTAATTTGATCCCTCCAGGCCTTACAGAGACCCTACAAAGCAAGTAGGTTGAAGCTGCGCGATCCCTTGAAAGATAAGGGGCTTGGTATGTTGGCTTCTGTTTAGGCTTCTCGATCAGAGGGTGCTATCATGCTGTAGGGTTGAAGCGTCAAGGTTTTGTCAGGTATGAAGGGTCAAGAGATTTGGTAAGCTGGGTAGTATGAAAAGTAACTAGACTTATAACTACTAAACAGCCCTATGGTGCCAGTGCCTCTCCTATATATGTGGCCACCCTAAAGCCTCGAGTATTGTCCTTATCACTGTAGAACCCAGATATGGTACGTATGGCCCTGCTTACTGCCCCAAGCCCTTAACCGTCTAAACCTTAAACCCCAAGCCTATGTACCCGACAGACCCCTAATCCGAGCCCGTACAGCAGACACCGTCAAGGATCGCCTGCTTTGCGCTGCAGCTCGGGCGGGAGACCTCGAGGAGACGGTCGAATTACTAGGACCCCACAAAGTACGCTTCACATAGAGCCCTTACAATCCTGAATGTCTGGGGCAGAATAGAGGGTATGTGGCGGTCTACGTAGGGCTTAAGGTTTAGGTTGCTGGGTTTCCGGCCTAAAATTGCTGGTTTCAGGGTTCTCGGTTTGGACCGTAAACGGCTTGCTGGGCAGCATCAAGACACGCCTCGGAAGGCCACGGTATGCCATAGCAAACCATGAAGCTGCCCCGAGCGAGGGTTGAGACAACTCAGCTCAACCCCCGCGAGGTGGCGTCGCTGCTACTGGAGGCCCATGCAGACGCCTGGATCAGAAGCTTCGGGTTAGGGTTTATAGGCCGTAGTGACGAATAGAGAGTATTGACAGGATGTTTACGATGTAAGAGGGCTCGGTTTGAATCAGCTTCCAAGACAATGTATACGAGCTCCTGCAAAATCGGTCCCCGCCACCTCTGGGAAGCTTTGCATCGTCTTTCTTGTGGGCAAATGTACACCCCCATGAAGTCAGGGCTCTATATTCGAGTTTTACATGGGGTCAATTTCGGACTTACCCACCATGCTTTTTGTCTTGCAGCCCCTGGTTCGCTAAGCGCTGCGCCTTCTATAGTGAGGAGATTGACACCTTCGACCCTCGCGTGGAAGAAGGCCCCCTGAGCGAAGCCTGCGCCTTCGGATGTCTTGACATGGCCCGCATGCTGGTGGAGGCGAGGGGTTGGGTTCACGATTCTAGCGCATTCAGATTTCAGTTTGGGGGGGCTCTAGGATTTACGGTTTAAGGCTTCAGGGGTTCAGGGCTTCGAGGTAAAGACTTGGCTTCTGGTCAGGGTCCACGCCGAACACCCTGAGGCCGGGGCCGATGTCAATGGAAGAGCTGAAGTTTCTGGTCTTTTCTATGCACCTTGTCAGAATGAATGCCCGAAGGAAACAAGCTATATATGGACGCTATACTTACACAAACCGTATTAGCATAGAAGCTGTGCTCCGTATTATCTAGGTGCTTAGGACACGTTGAGGCATAGAACACGGGCTGACCTTGTTGGCCAAAGCAAGTCCCTAAACGATCTAGGTCACCTAGATCTACAGATAATGATAAGCCTCACACCGTTTGTTTTGCTGTTGCAAGCTGTATAACTCCTCAAACCAAACAAACCATTGAAGCAACAGTCCGAGGCATGCCAATATGGCCACCTAGATGTGACGAAGCTGCTGTTGGAGGTCCGTGCGGACGTTCACCAATGCACCCTTGGCGGAATCTACCCTCTCATGGCAGCATGTGGAGGTGGGCACATGGAGGCGGCTGCTGGGTCAAAAGCTGTACATGTTGAAACTTCCCATCTGCGGATGGTTGCATGAAGTCCGAACAGGAACATGAATCAATATAAGCTGAGATCGCAAGACAGTGTGCAGAGAAGCGCACAAATCCCCAGGTGGTCCAGCTGTTGCTCGAGGCTTCGGCCCAGATTTTCGGAGACTTGGATGGGGTAAGAGATCTGCAGTACAGCTCCCAGCATACTGTTTTGGGTTCAGGTTGGGGTTTACGGCTGAAAGAGTTCGTGGTGCAAGGTTCGGGGTCTATGACTGAACATGAAGTCTACCTCGTTTCGGGATCTTCATCCAAAAAGAGATGGGGCTCGCTCTTTGAGTTTCTATTCGGGCTTCCTGTCTACTGAAACTCCCAACAACACAGGAAGGCGTAGCCCTTTCCTCGGCAATGCAGAGACACCACACGCTCTGCTCTAACCTCAAACTCGAAAGCCATCAGGCCTAGAAGCCCTAAATCAACCGCTGAGATGTGGGCAACCATGGCGAGTCGGCACTTTCCGAAGCCTCACGGCACGGCCACGTGGATTTGGTCCGTCTCTTGCTGGAGAGAGGCTGGGGAGGGGAAGAAACATGCACATTGTTTTCCAGACGCTTGTTAGCTCACTGACGCAGTAAGTACAAGCATCAAGAGACAATCAGTCGATACATGCAACGCATTACATTGCACCTGACTCTGGGAGCGGATGTTGAGCTCTCAGGTGCATGGGCCGCCAACTCTTTCGTCGATCCACTGATGGGCCCAGATCAGCTGGAATCGCCCCTTACTGCAGCTGCCGGCTGGGGTCACGTGGAGGCCGCATCGGAATGCACCATTTGAGCAAGGGTGCGAACAATTCCAGCAGATTCTTGCAGTGAGGTTAGATGTTCATTTACGGTTCCCAAGATGTCATCATATGTTTGGACTAGCATTCTAACCCACCCGGAGACAGGGGCCTCCTACCTTGGCCTTTGAGGTGCTTCGCCTTCTGCTGGAGGCCCGGGCTGAGGCCCGGGGAGTTGGAGAAAGCGGAACCTGAAGCCACCGGTTTAGGGATCCCCTTGTGGGAACTTGTCGTTCTTCTGCAAAGGATCTTACGACTTGGCATCCTTAGGGGTCTAGGCATTGGGGTCTAGGGGGTTTTGGGTTAGGTAGACTGATTGAAAGACAGGTCAAGCAGTCATGGGAAGTGTCTCGCAAAGGAGCCAAAAGTTCCCGACCCGCTGAAGCGCAAGCCCAAACTCCGAAATAAAGCCCAACAATCCTTGAAACCGAAAGACCTGAGCCCCAAAAGCATGCTCAAAAGGTGAACCATGTCCACGAAGACGGGGCGACGGCTCTTTGCGAGGCAGCGAGCTACGGCCATGTCCTAGCGACCCAGCTGCTGCTTGAGGCTGCTGTGGGCGGTTGTCTAAACTATTGGGGCAATTTTCACTCTACGTCCCAGAAACGAAACAGAAGTCCAAATCAGATCCAACCCTGAACGCAGAACTCCAAATTAAACCCCACAAGCCCTAAATCCTTTTCACTTCCACAATTGGACCTTAAAAGCTGCACCCTAAGCTCATCAGGGTGCTGCTGGAGGGGTTGAGGTGTCGGGATGAAGGATCGGAGTGTCTACGGGGACCCTTGAAGGTCTCAGATTTCGGGGTCCTGGTCCTTGGAAAGTAGTGAGCCTCATGCAGAAATTCGCATGTGCCGCTGATTGTCCAAACACCGGTGCCACCACTTCCCCCGAATCGTAACTGTCAGAACACCTCGTCCTCGTTTGGGTGCTGCGTCCTGCAAATGCGATTCCGGAACACCAGCTACCAGTATAGAGGCATCCTGTCGACATCACATAGAAATTTGGGCTTAGCTGTCTCGGCCGGTCGTGTGTTAGTGCTAGTATCTGATCGCTTCCTTGCACAGAGAATCGGAGACTCACCGTCAAAATGCCGTGTGGAACGCCTTCCAGTTGCAGACAGGCGGGCGCTGATGCCAACGCCGCTGAAGCGGGCCAGGACACACCTCTTATTTCAGCGTCCGCCTACGGCCACCTCGAAGTTGTCCGCCTGCTGCTGGCAGCCTGTGCAGAGGTGTGGCCAGGGTCCGGGTTTAGGTTTTGGAGTCTGGGAGTTGGCTGAAGGTCCGGAGTGTTGATTTTCAGGCTTGCAAGATTGGTAGACTCGTGCGAGCCTTTGGAGTCTTGCCGAATCGGGTGCTTCTTTGCCATTGCTGAAAAGCACGAACAGTCCATCCCTCGACTAGCTTCTTCTTGCCGAAGCTGGCATCCAAACCAGACCTTTTCCAAGGTCGAGATCCCGCCCCCAGTGTATCCGACGGAACCCCTAAGCCCTAAACCCCGCGTCGTGAACCCTGCAACACAACCCCCCCTGCCTCAATAACAAGCTTGACGATGATGAGGTCGGCCGATCGGTCGGAGGAATTGCTCTCGCCGAAGCAGCCTACTTCGGACATCTCGACGTGGTCCGCGAGCTCGTTCGGGCTGGTGCTTAGAAGACCAAAAAGCCGTCCGTGCCCGCTTGCTGAGTCTTGCGTTACTTGGCATTGTCTTCTGTGGATTCCTGTGCCTTCCTACTGGGGTGACTTGGTTTGCGCACTCGGAAGTTTCAACTGAGTGTTGGCTACTACAGATACTGGAAGTCTCGGCGTCTCAACTGTTACTGTGCAGCTGATGTGTGCTTAACGAGGTGTTGCTGTTATTGATTTCCCGGCTGTGGATGTTGATGGCCTAGTTTGTGGAAGCACTGAGCGTCGAGGTTTTGATCCGTCAAGCGCCGATGGGGGGCGGGACCTGAGGTCGTGCGAGGTGGGGGTGGGCTGGAGGGCTCCTGCGGACCCTTGGACCGATCTGTCGCGTTGTTGGGTGTAGGCCACCAGTAGAAATTCCTTAGCTTGTTGATATTGCTGTGGTTCAGGGCATTGACGGGCGTTGGTCTTGTTTTGACTTTGCAAAGTCGCGGAGGCAGGCGCTTAAGTCGGTCTTGATCCAAAAAACCATCCTACAGCGACCACCCTAAGCCCCTAAACTTGGGGACTTGCCCAGATATCTGCATGACATCGTTGGCATCGTCCACTGCGACGTGAAGCCGGACAACCTTCTCCTCCGTCGGGCTCTGCGGCATGGGGTTCTATCTGAGTGCCTACTGGCATGGTGGTAAAGATGTGATCCAACCAGTAGGAGCTCTAAGGGCCTTTACCGCCTGTTTGCTTCAAGGGAGGAGCTACTCGCTCCATAACCCCACCGACGCCTGAGTAAAGGATGATGGTTCGGTTTCGCTGTTGCAACGCTTGCCGTGAGGTTGGGATGGCTTGGCCGTGAAGCTTTGCGATTTCGGCACGGCGAGGCCTGGCAGGTTTGCAGCCTGTGTTTTACGGGGTGGTCTTGCTATGCAGTGTGGGGAGCCTGAATAACTGGTAATCAGTCATACTCATTTTGAAAGGGTCTCGAGTATTGTTTAGGATACTACTAGTAGGCATCAAAAACCATGACTACTCATCATAAAAGTCTCTACATTCGGTGTCCGCTGTTTTGTTCGTTGTGGGCCATGGGTTCTTTGCCAGCATGAAGCCCAACAGCTTGCTTCCCAGAGATTCCAGAATCATTTAACTAAGCACCGTGCACAGTTCAAATCTTCGGGTAGAAGCTGGAAAGTCGGAACATTATTATCCTCATGCCGAGTGTAGGCAAGGTACCATTTTGTGGGGTTGACCACTACAGGCCGATTCCTTCTATTTTGTTTGTGGTGGCTGGGTGTGTTGCAGGCTCACACTTTCGATATGAAGACGCTTCCGAATTCGAGCTTGGGAGGAGAGAACCCAAAACCCCTCAAACAAAGGAACACCTTCCATGTTCCATGATGAAGGCCTGTAGAACTGTGTGTTGGCCTCTTTGGGGCAAGACCTGGGCCCTTTGACTGCGAGGCCATCGCCGGAGCTGCAGAACACGGTCCGCGCGCTCCGGGGGTTTGGGGTTCAGGGGGCGAGCTGAGGGGTGCAGAATTGCCATAATTTACAAGGATACTCTTCTCCGGCCCATTAGGTCACTTGGCACCTTAGTTTAGAACGTAGGATTTGGGCTCTTGGGCTTTTCCGGACGTCTTAAAGTTCGAAAGCCTCAACCCCGACCGAATGCATGAAGCGTTTGGCGTTCGTGGGTTCAGGCTTTTGGGCTGTAAGGTTTTTGGGACTTTCGGCAACATTCGCACAGCACACCCATCCCATGGAGCCAACTTTCAACTCCCGGATTGCCATGAGAACCGTTCAGTGAAGTACAGGCATTCCCCCCTGTTGCAACTGTAAGTTATGCATCTGAATCAATCTTTACCCGAATGACCTGCCCAACATCATTTCCAAACTGTTTAATGGATCTGCCTGGCACAGGATCGTGATTAATTTCTTGGACCCGCGGTTTGCAATCTCGAAAAGTACGTTTGACACTGAGTGTTCAACTCGCTCCCACGGCTCATCGTTGCCTCCAAAGTTTAAGCGAAGATTCAGATATTTCTAGACTGCTGAGAATCTCGGAAATCTCGATGCCAGGACGAGCTGCAGCCTCTGTTCTATAGGGCACCCGAGGCAGGACCTTAGCCTGCACAGCTTTCTGAGTCAAGCAACCGATGTCTTGAATTAAACAGTTTTCGATCAGGAGAGAACGTTCTCTCGTGCAGATGAGATGCCTTCACAAGGTTCAGGTCTCAACAGACATTGTTTGCATGCCACGTCCGCTCTATTGGGGAAGCCACGCATGACTATTCAGTGAAGCTTCCGCTCAGAACGGAGCAGGCAACATCTTGAAACGCCAAGCTCTAAAGCTCCGGCCCTAAGGCCCTAACCGTTAACCCCGAAATCCCACGTCCTAAAGCCCAGACCCCCAAAAAAGGCATAAATCCCAAAATTCCCCAAACTCTATCGTGAAGGTCCTTCTCGGTTGCACGCGCGGTAGAAAGATCGATGTCTGGTCGGCCAGCCTGGCGAGTCTGTGCTTGACAGGGGGTGAGTGGAGGGGTCATAGGGCAATCAGGTTTCACGCGGTTTGCTAATGCCTTGCAGGGTCCTTAATCGGGTTTAATGGGGTGTACTAGCGTCTAATAGTATCTAACATGGCTCAATTTGACCGGGTTTACAGGGTATACAAATCAATCATGACTACCTCGTGAGAATTGCCGAAGCAGTCTTCGTATAAGCTGTGCGTCATCCATCTTCGATCCCTCGAGAACACTGCACGTGACGACTGCAAGTCTCTGCGCAGCTTCAGGATTTTCGACATCGGACTTTGTATGATTAGCTGCCAGGCCGCTTGGACCATCTACGAGCTCATCGTCGGAAGGATCTACCTCCGAAACTGCCACACGCCACGTGAGGCCGGGATGCAACTCGCGGAAGCCTCCTAAACCCCCAAACCCCAAAACTCAAGCCCTGACACCTCTAAGCCCTGCAAACCATACACATAAAGCCGCAGCAAACCTCGTAAGCCCTAGAGTAAGTCCTCAGCCCTGAGCCGTGAGAGCCTGCAGGTCCTACAGGAGATCATGCAGCTTCGTGGGCCTGTGCCTGGCTCGGTGATCGGAAGATTCTGCCCGGCTTCCATTGCCTCGAAGTTCACTCACATAGCCATGGTATGAAGCTCCCCAAATCTCCAATGGCAGTCTCTTCGGTGCAGGTGCCGGCGGAGATGCGCACCCAGGGACGACCCTCGGCCTTGCAAGTGAGGGGGAGTGATCAGGGAACTCAAGAACCGGAATGCTAGACGGTTTCATATTCTGACCTTGAACAAATAGGGGTAGATTTAGGCATGGGGAGTTGAACGATGCTCCGGGCACTTGGGTTTCCAAAGCGGCTGTGGTTCTGTTGCATGGCTGCGCCACTGTACTTGCTTCGCAGCTTCAGCTCTACTTCTTCCGGGTTCCCGCTGGCCAGACACGACTTTCCGGCTTTCCACGGATTAGATTCGGCAAAGACAACGGGTCTCTATATGTGACATTGTGGCATTCTTACGCTTCCAAGTTTGAAGTGAAGGAAGACGGCAAAGGGCAAAGGAGACATCACTCTCAATTCGCCAGATACTGACAGAGGCAAGTCGACCTTTCGTTCGCCATAGCATCCGCAGCTCTATTCAAGCTGCCTCCTGAACCCCGACATGCCTTGCGGACCAGATATGCGGAGGCAAAACTCCCCGGGCAGCCGAAGACCAGGATATTCCCCAAGTCCTTCTCGGTGTCACCTAGGTCTCAGCGCAGCTTACTTCAACCCAAAGGGCTTCCACACAGAGGCTTCCCGGACAAGACCCTTCCTGGGGGACTGGGCGGCTCATGTTGCGACAGTTGGAGAGTGCCAGTCCTCTCAATGACCGGGGTTTTCCATTGGGTTCGAGCGCTCTGGCAAAGTGCTGCCCAGGAACTCAAATCCCTTAACTGGGCATGATACACCAGAGGATTGCACAAGCTTTGGAGGCTTGGGCGAAGTGGAGCTTCGCTGTCAGCCGCCGAATAGATTCTTGCATAAGAGAGACCTTCAATTACGAGGTTTCTGGGTTCCCTTGACAAGTTTCAGGGATCAAGACTCTCTAGGCGGAGTTACCTGGAACCACTCTAACTAGTTTTTAAGGGCTCCGAAATACCGTCTTCTTATAGGGCCCTTTGCGCTTGTTTCAGGGCTCTCTTTGCATCTTCGGGCCCCCCGGTTGCTCAGGCGACATCGACACCCGCACATGTCCGATCTTGAACCCCAAGAGTCCATAGTTCTAAAATTCTGAATACATATATATGTATATACACATATGTAGATAATCTCATATAGGTAGATAGATCGGTAGAGATACACACATACTGCACATCTAGGCCTTGAAGGGTCCTATCGTGACTGTAGCGTCAGAGTCTGCACTAGATGGATGCGTGAACACTCGGGGCAAAAAGGGTTGCTAGGGTTTTGGGGTATGTCTAGTATACTTCTATAAAACGGACAACCAGGGCACACATTAGTGCTCATTATCCAGACTTCCATAGAATGCTACAGCCGACCTCGAAGACTTCCAACCTGCCCGTTGCAGACACGACAAGTTGTCGATCCGGACAGCTACGAGAAGCGGCTGGGGCCTCGGTGGGCTGACCCCCTCAGCAGGCAGTATTGGTACGGGTCTGATAAGAGCTTGGCCCGGGCGCTAACTTCTGCAGCGAGCACTGCGAGCCAGAATATGTGTTTGAGAGAGAGTGTGGGAGAGCGAGAGTGAGAGAGAGAGAGAGAGAGACAGAGATACAATTAGATAATGCAGCAGTTCCTGTCTAGTGATATTGTGTTGTGTTGATAGCCGTTATTGCTAACAAGATGTGACCAAGCTGGCGAGACCATCATAGACACATCGTCCCAAAAACTAGTGGCAACAAATTGCCTAGTGCAGTGTAGCTTGAAGTCTTCCTATTATGTACGTGGGGGACTAAGTGATGTTGCCACAAACTGGGGACGGGTGCATGTGTCTGCAAAAATCATCAAGAACCTGG